TCAGGCCGACTAGGGAGTGTCCTGTGGCCCTGATTTGGTTGCATCATTATCAAGCTTGGGTATTAGGGCTGCAACGAACGATTATTTTAATAAATCGATTAGTTGTCCGATTAATCGGATAAAAAATAAATACCACCCTTAATTTAAAATGAAATACACAAATATGTCGTATTACAAACATGAAGTTTACTTCGGAAAAAAATGGCATGCACAATTATTTTCCAATCGCACTGCACTGGAACGCACAGCATTGGGTTACCGTGCATTCCAGTGCGGGCGATCACACTGCAGGTGGGAGGCGCGATTGGGCTGCCATTGAAATGAATGGCACTGCAACGCACCTCCCTCAGCAGAATTTGCCAGGCTGAAACTGAAAATTACTTTTTACCACCTTTTATAATAATTGTATCGTAAGCACATGGCACTTGCATAGCTTCAGACCGGGAATGACAGCTGACATTGGCAAGATTCCGCAGATGAATCTAAATACAGCAGGTAGTGGGCGGTTGCAGCAGCCAGCCTGCTATTGGCCATTTCAAATTGCAATAGCCAATAGCAAGCTGGCTATTGCACCCGTCCACTGCTTGCTGCGCCCTCCTCCCTGCATTAAGGAAAGAGCTGGAGGATCCAACCAACTAATCGATAAGAAATAGTTGACAACTATTCTTATTATCGATTAATCGATTAGCTGGTTGCAGCCCTATTGGGTATACACACCCTAGGGTTACTATGGCCAGATTCATGTCATTGTTAAGGTTTGGAAACACTTAAAAAAAGTAATTTTGATATGGGGCAAATCTCACCATTGTGGGAGGAGCAGAGACACAACCTACTGGGGGAGATCTCACCATTGTGGGAGGGGCGGAGACACAAACTACTGGAGGAAATCTCACCATTGTGGGAGGAGCAGAGACACAACCTACTGGGGGAGATCTCACCATTGTGGGAGGGGCGGAGACACAAACTACTGGAGGAAATCTCACCATTGTGGGAGGAGCAGAGACACAACCTACTGGGGGAGATCTCACCATTGTGGGAGGGGCGGAGACACAAACTACTGGAGGAAATCTCACCATTGTGGGAGGAGCAGAGACACAACCTACTGGGGGAGATCTCACCATTGTGGGAGGGGCGGAGACACAAACTACTGGAGGAAATCTCACCATTGTGGGAGGAGCAGAGACACAACCTACTGGGGGAGATCTCACCATTGTGGGAGGGGCGGAGACACAAACTACTGGAGGAAATCTCACCATTGTGGGAGGAGCAGAGACACAACCTACTGGGGGAGATCTCACCATTGTGGGAGGGGCGGAGACACAAACTACTGGAGGAAATCTCACCATTGTGGGAGGAGCAGAGACACAACCTACTGGGGGAGATCTCACCATTGTGGGAGGGGCGGAGACACAAACTACTGGAGGAAATCTCACCATTGTGGGAGGAGCAGAGACACAACCTACTGGGGGAGATCTCACCATTGTGGGAGGGGCGGAGACACAAACTACTGGAGGAAATCTCACCATTGTGGGAGGAGCAGAGACACAACCTACTGGGGGAGATCTCACCATTGTGGGAGGGGCGGAGACACAAACTACTGGAGGAAATCTCACCATTGTGGGAGGAGCAGAGACACAACCTACTGGGGGAGATCTCACCATTGTGGGAGGGGCGGAGACACAAACTACTGGAGGAAATCTCACCATTGTGGGAGGAGCAGAGACACAACCTACTGGGGGAGATCTCACCATTGTGGGAGGGGCGGAGACACAAACTACTGGAGGAAATCTCACCATTGTGGGAGGAGCAGAGACACAACCTACTGGGGGAGATCTCACCATTGTGGGAGGGGCGGAGACACAAACTACTGGAGGAAATCTCACCATTGTGGGAGGAGCAGAGACACAACCTACTGGGGGAGATCTCACCATTGTGGGAGGGGCGGAGACACAAACTACTGGAGGAAATCTCACCATTGTGGGAGGAGCAGAGACACAACCTACTGGGGGAGATCTCACCATTGTGGGAGGGGCGGAGACACAAACTACTGGAGGAAATCTCACCATTGTGGGAGGAGCAGAGACACAACCTACTGGGGGAGATCTCACCATTGTGGGAGGGGCGGAGACACAAACTACTGGAGGAAATCTCACCATTGTGGGAGGAGCAGAGACACAACCTACTGGGGGAGATCTCACCATTGTGGGAGGGGCGGAGACACAAACTACTGGAGGAAATCTCACCATTGTGGGAGGAGCAGAGACACAACCTACTGGGGGAGATCTCACCATTGTGGGAGGGGCGGAGACACAAACTACTGGAGGAAATCTCACCATTGTGGGAGGAGCAGAGACACAACCTACTGGGGGAGATCTCACCATTGTGGGAGGGGCGGAGACACAAACTACTGGAGGAAATCTCACCATTGTGGGAGGAGCAGAGACACAACCTACTGGGGGAGATCTCACCATTGTGGGAGGGGCGGAGACACAAACTACTGGAGGAAATCTCACCATTGTGGGAGGAGCAGAGACACAACCTACTGGGGGAGATCTCACCATTGTGGGAGGGGCGGAGACACAAACTACTGGAGGAAATCTCACCATTGTGGGAGGAGCAGAGACACAACCTACTGGGGGAGATCTCACCATTGTGGGAGGGGCGGAGACACAAACTACTGGAGGAAATCTCACCATTGTGGGAGGAGCAGAGACACAACCTACTGGGGGAGATCTCACCATTGTGGGAGGGGCGGAGACACAAACTACTGGAGGAAATCTCACCATTGTGGGAGGAGCAGAGACACAACCTACTGGGGGAGATCTCACCATTGTGGGAGGGGCGGAGACACAAACTACTGGAGGAAATCTCACCATTGTGGGAGGAGCAGAGACACAACCTACTGGGGGAGATCTCACCATTGTGGGAGGGGCGGAGACACAAACTACTGGAGGAAATCTCACCATTGTGGGAGGAGCAGAGACACAACCTACTGGGGGAGATCTCACCATTGTGGGAGGGGCGGAGACACAAACTACTGGAGGAAATCTCACCATTGTGGGAGGAGCAGAGACACAACCTACTGGGGGAGATCTCACCATTGTGGGAGGGGCGGAGACACAAACTACTGGAGGAAATCTCACCATTGTGGGAGGAGCAGAGACACAACCTACTGGGGGAGATCTCATCATTGTGGGAGGGGCAGAGACACAAACTACTGGGGGCAAATGTCACCATTGTGGGAGGAGCAGACACACAAAAAGCAGCAAGGAATATACCAGTGCCCACCCAAGCTAACATTCAAGCAGCAGACAGAGTTAGCATTGCT